TGTTCGAAGTTCCTTCATAGGGTCAACGTCATCAATCGCATCTGCATGTAAATATTCAAAAAAAGAGTGTTACAAGAATGTTATGCCAATGGATACCTTTTTAGAAAAATAACTCAGTTTACAAAATACACTACAGATTTTTTTTAATATCATTAAGCTAATTTTACAAACAGTGACTAACAAAGAGCCCACAAAACAAACTTTTTGCAATATCCAAAGAGGCTATAAAACTGTGGGCTTAAAGAATGTTGGAACATTATAATTAAGTTTCAAAATTTAGATGAAAAGTTGTTGATTCTTTGTTTTTAATTTCTACAATTGTGAAATGTTTTGTTTAAAACTAATTTAATTAGTTGTTTCTTTTATAAAAATTTACAAAAATTAGCATGAGGAAGTTTGCTCAATTCAAAAATGTTCATTTCACCAAGACTTTTGTCCACCACTGTATATACGTACCTAACAAAGCTTCGAAAAATTTTTTATACGCTTTCAAACTCGTTTTTCCGTGAATCCCATCTATATTAATCGATGTTATTAGGTCTATAGATAATCCACTATCCAATGTTTTTGTGAGCTTTCCCCTCAATAGTGATTTCATTGCTTTCACCTGTTAAAGGTATTAAAGAATTTGAAGGATTGAAACAATAAGAAATAGAATTTTTCTTACATATATGGATTTGTTTGGTCCAGATAGTTCTGCATTAATAGTATCAATGTCCTCCACGGATTTCAGAGGGAATTTTTCAGTGAGTTTATCTGCGATGGCTTCTTGATGCAAAAAATCTTTTAATAAAACATTATGAACCGCCAGTACTTCCATAATCGCCTTGTTTTGGTTTTTAACTATTTCTAAACAAATTAAATTAGATTAGAATAAAAACTATATTGTATTGAGCCCAACTGAAGCCTCACTTTTTTGGAAGAATATACTCGGAGAACTGTGCACTGTTTCTTACCTTTTAGTTCCTGAATTTCGCCATGCAGCTGTCTGTTACCGTCGCACCTTTCACACGTAGTTATTTCTGAAAAAAATATACAAATAAAATTTATAAATTGAAATCTCATATAGAAAAGTATGCAGTTGAATTTCACTTACTTTTTAACGGGAGATTTTCACCCAGCCGCATCGCATTTCCTCCTCTTTTGTACATCTTTAAATTGTGTGTAGCAATGGTACTAAAAGTATTTGGTTGTCGTAGGGAAGGCACATGTATTTATAATTTATTTGGTTTATATTGAATTTATGTATTGGCTCGGAAGTGTCATACTCAGCAATACAAATTCCTAAAGCTGCTAAAGAATCTACGGGTGCTGTGAAAAAGCTTTTCAGATTTTTTAATTTTTTCCCCAGGATTGTGACGTTTCGTCCTTTTTCAAACCCTACAATCTTTACTGACATATTTTCTTTGAGACAACAAAAGCTATCCGGACCTCTTATACTCAAATAAAACTCAAAATCGATACTTATAACTTTTCCTTTAACTTCTTTAACTTTGGGTAGCTTTTCTTTTTATATTATAGTTTCGTTTTCTATACTTTTAGATATCTGTTGCAAAATCTGTGTGGGCTTTCTTACGTACTTTTTTAGCTGTTGTAAGTAATTTTCAAAATCATATCCTGAAAACGTATATCAGGGTCCTAATAGTTTAGCGCTTTCGCTCAGATGAAGTAGCCCATGTACATTGTAAGATACACTCTCTTCTCCAAAAATGGTAGAAAAATTCTGCACCAACATTTCTAACATAGAATGAGCTAGTGAAATATTGTTTTTGTATTTTTTCGGGCAAGAAAGCAAACGAGTGGATGTGTGAAGCAACAGGAATTCGTTGTAAAAATCTGCATGTACTTTTTCTTTTAAAACTAAAATTCCTGAATATAAAAGGAATTGCCTATATTCAACTGCTTTCCAGTGTGGAAGCTCATCAATTGACCTGGGTTTACGAACAAATTCTTTAGGAACACATGAAGCGAGGGACACTAGGTGATTAGAAATTTCAGTTTTACACATATTACTTATTTTAAAAAATGTTTTATTATTAAACAATCGCAATAACATTTTCCTCATAACCCCCAGGTCTAAGAGGTGCATGGGGTCCAGCGGTATCTGTTCAATCATGTCAATACTCAATTTTTCAAAAGGAGTTTTATTTATTTTAAAACAATTTTTATGCTTATAAGGATATTTCCTTGAACTAAAATCTACGCCAGTCATAACTTCACCTTCACCAGAATGAGTAGGGTATGTTAACACATTATTCATTTTTTTAGAAACCTGGAGGCATTTAGAGCAACCATGAAAAGACGTATGACCAGGTATGCCGCATACAAATGACTTAGCTGGGGCATCACAGACCGCTGCTCGTAATATTATTTTAATAAGCTTATTTTTCAAAACTAAACCATTTTCTAGCAAATGTTTAAAATCATCTATCACATCAGCTAAATAATTTGTTATGCAGTTAGGTTTAGCTTTTCCCAAATAAACACCTATGGGAAACACTGGTAAATTGTTTACATTAACAACTTTCACCAAAACAGGCCACAGCTGCGATTTGGAACTTCGAAATAAAGGAAGCCCATCCACGTTTAAGTCAAATATTATTTCATCGTATTCAATAATTTTCTCACAGATTTTATTTAACTGGATCTCTAAATTGAAATGCGTGTAATAACCAGGTTCAACGCTTCGTATTAGAAAAGGCACGTCCAAATTTGACTCATTCAAAATTCAATATACCAATTTCTTAACTTCTCTTTTAAAGTTTTCTGTGGCACCGGACTTGGCAAAGTTAGGTTAAACTCGGGCTCCGCGACGCCAGCAACAGCAGGCGCAGACACAATTTCACTTAAAACCTCTTCACTATGACTTTCTAACAAAGAAACATATATTTATTTTTGTTTTTTAAATAATCTTCTCCTATTTCTGACACTTCCACCTTTTTTATACATTATTTCTCACTTTTTATAAAAAATTCAGTAAAAAGCAAGCACACGACGCCGACACGCAAAAAATTTTCTTTTATGTTTCATTCAAACAGACGTCAAAGTTTGGCAGCTGTTCTGCGTCAATGCAGTCAGTGCTGCCACAACTCACCATTTTGGATTCCTTTGCACGACTTGCCAGCTAACTAAAAATTTTTTTGTAGGTGTTAGACAAAAATGGGGTATTTTTAGAAATTGCTACGAAATAGTTAATTAAAAGCCATCTAATTTTAACAATTGATAATTTTCCACTGCAGGGTATGTACAACTATACAGATTAAAGTTTTATGAGTTAGAAACTCGAAAGGATAAAATAGTCAAAGTACAAATTTTTCATATAATGAAACTAGTTCATAGTTTTTCTCTTTTTACTTGTAATGGCTGCGTTTCTTTATACATTCCGGATAATCCCATTTCACAGCCGGAATAAACAGAATGCGTTTGAAATATACGTTGACATATCATCAGGAACGTTCTAAAGAATAAGTAAACAAAAAAGTTTATTCCAAACGTTCACAATGAATAAAGAAATGCCGCCAATATAAAATTTCTAAAATAAATGTATTTTTTGATTGTTATTCGTATTTTCTGTCTTTTTTTAGTACCTTATTTTGCAATACCTAGTGCCTTTTCCTGCCTTTTTCGCTATTTTGTTTTGCCTTTTTTGCAGTACCTAGTGCCTTTTCCTGCCTTTTCGCTATTTTATTTTGCCTTTTCCAGCCTATTTCGTTATTTTATTTTGTCTATTTTATAGGTTTTTAGGTCCTAAAAATCCGTTCCCTGTTAACAATGTATTCATGTAGACTCTACGCCTTTTAACGAATTCCGTTTGCATAACTTATTCAAAATTTTAAGAATTAAAAATGGCGGGTCCAATATGTTTTTAAAAATATATTTTTTTATGGAATTCAACATTTCCAAGTTTTTGGTGGTAGTGCGGCTTTTTTGTCAGTGAAATATAATTTTGACTTTTGGTCCCCTTTGCTACGGAAGGCTGCGTAGGTTCCCCACTTTCGCCAGAAATCGTTAAATTTTCGCTTAACGCGTATTTGCATTGTTCAACCTTCACAGGCGATTAGTTGAATCAAAGTTGAACGAACAGAACAATTTTTATTTGAAAATATGTAGTATGTATATACATTTTATGTACATACACTGGCGATCAAAACTGAGTGCATGATGATTTTATCGAATATTTACAATGTTGTCCAAGTTGATTTTTTGTTACTTCTTAAAAAATATTTCTCATGCTTTAAACAAAACCATATATATAGGACTGCATTACGCCCCATGCAAAAAAATCGGTACTGGGATTCCATTGGAATTATAATATCTATTATATTTTAAGACTTGCAACAAATATTTAGATTTACGTGAGCCGGGCCGATTTGAAAATACCTCAAAAAATCAAGTTTTTTATGAATAAAAATAGTTTCTTAAAGAATTTTTTTGAAAAAAATTCCATCCGAGAACAAGACAGTTTAAACTCAAAAAATATGCACAAAATTATTAAAAGAAACTTTCAACGGAATCGTAATAATGAGATTTTTTATGCTGTTTTTAATTTTTTACAAAGTTTGGTATAAGAAAAAAATTAATAACTGGACCACAACTATTCCGATTTAGACTTGTAAGGTATCATTGCAAACGTGATTTCACACCCTTTTTATTTCAAATAAACTCATTCAAAGCATGAAAGAGAGAGGCAGGATGAACGAGCGTCACTCCAAGTCGAATTAAGAAGTTTTGGTAATTGAAAAAAGTAATAATAATTGGGACGTGAATTAATTTCTTTTGTCACACGTCAATGCGAGCAGACGTGTATTTACTGCGCTCCGCGATTTTTGTGTTTGCTTCGCAGTGACTGTATTTTGAAATAAAATTGTAGAATTACACGAAATGCCTTGTTTCTGTGGTCTAAAAGTTGACCGTAATAACAAAGCCAAAGGTTCAATGTGCTGAATGTAGTGAACTTTTCCACCTTAACTGTGCCGGTATTTCTCCTGCAGACGTGGATCATTTGATCAGATCTAACAGAAGCTTTTTCTGCAAAATTTGTTCGGACATTCACCGAAGATCTTGCCGTTCTCCCCCTCCGTCTCTTGGTGAGGTGGAGAGTGCAATTGATATTAATTCGCCTGCTTCAACAAACCATAGTGCAAATATTTTGCTCCAACAACAATTGCCTAAGCCGGTCGTAATGCAGAAGCACAGTGAAAATGGACAAAGTAAAAACGAAGACAATACTGCAATCTCGTTAGCAATAGTGCTGCTTTTAAATATGAACAAGTTCGTGCGACTTCTGTGATTAGTTCTCTTCAAGCGGATAAACAGTTGTTGATAGCAGCGTTGCCGCTAACAATTTTTTTCCCCTACCAATTTTCTTCCCAAATCCGACCAAAATCGTTTACAACCTACCAAATAAATTTCAATTACAAAAAGCATTCTGAGAGCATACATTTATTTAAGATTAACTGGTCTATTCTGGTAATAAATAATTTTTAACCGGTAAATAAAGTTCCTGTCAATTTTTAAACCCTTTTCGCATTCTCTGTACTCTTGTAAGCGGTAAATTTTGTTACCATCTCATAAGCTGGCAACAAAGTATTGCACCGTGAAATATGCACAATTCTTCATAGCTGAATTGCCGAATATTTTAACTGCATTACCAACGAACCTAGAATCGCGGTGACAAGAACTGGTAACATTTTTTTTTTGATAAAAATACGATAGAAATAAAAAATTGCATTTGGTTTTTGCAACACATTCCTTCTGCTAGGTCTGCAGATCGCATACCGTTTACTTCGTAAAAGCAGGAAATAAAATAAAGTTTTAAAATATCCCATTGCTCAACTATTCTTAACGCAACACTTCCTAGTGAAAGCCATGGTGTTTGAGATATGCCCAAGATTTTGGGGGGTTTTACAGAACAGTAGTCCTGAAATTCCTTCAGTTCATTTATCCTCTTTGGACTGTGGGAAAAGAAACTATATGAGTTGGGGCACAGTGTCTCAATGCTTTTCGGCGATTTTTTACAAGT